TGCAATTTAAGTAAAAAAATTTTCTAATAATCCTAATTTGTCCGTTACTCTAATTGTGGTTTTTGTTACTCATTCCGACAACGACGCCAAAAACTTGACAGTGACTTTATATTTGCTTAAAATGTAATAACAGTTATAGATTCAATAAAGATGTATATATGTAAAGTATTCAATATTGATAAAGTCACACTTATCAACGCAAGTATACGTATCGCTCAAGTAATATAAGGTTCTAATGAAGTCCTAGATATCGATCTCACACGGAATAAGTTTAGAACTACGAACTAAGATTTTAGAAAAACAATACTTTAATCACAACAACGAAGTTCAATTTGTTTATCTGTCACTAATAGACAATTGAAATAAATATGTAATTTTAATAACTATTAAATAACTAAATATACTAATGAAGGTACGAATGTGATATTCAATATATAAGAAAGCATCCTTCACCTTGTCAAGAAATTATAGTGAATGGATAAAGTGAATCAGTTCAAATTATATTATGTCAAATAAGAGCATATTTATTCTTTTCCCTTTAGTCCAGACATAAAGAACATTGACTAATCCTACGCTTGTTTCTTGCATTTGCGGCTAAGCCGGGGGGGGAACAGCCGTGTCAAATAGGAGCATACATATTCTTTACCCTTCAGTCCAGACATAAAGAACATTGACTATTCCTACGCTTGTTTACTGAATATGCGGCTAGGCTGGGAGGATATCAGCTCTCACTTTGGAGCTCCCACGTTCCCCTCGCCTGAGGGCTAACATCTACACTTCAGCACCCAAACGATAGAACCGAAATGAGAATTTTAGTCTGTCACTCTAAAATCTCCAATTATACGCTCGATAATATTATTTCCCTATTTATTTGCACCTAACTTCTAAGGGCTTTGACCTCCCTGAATCTTGAATGTAATCTTCACTTTAGTTGTAAAACTCAACATATTTTAATAAATCAATTGACCAGATTGAAAGTAAATTAAGATCGAAGTTAAAAGATCATCACAATTTCTTAAACATTTTCATGGTTTTACCAATTCAAATCACCATTTCACAAATCTCAAGACAAGGAGAAAGATAGAGAAAACAACTCAGAACTCATGGGGAAAACACAACAAAACTCAGGATTCATATATAAAAGTAAAGTCATACAAACTATAACAAGTAAATAACATTTATCTCTAAATTCTCCCCAAGCAAACTCCTTGAAGTTCCTCTTCTCTTCATTTCTTTACAGCACACAGAATCCCTCTTCGAAGCAACAAGGAGGAAGAAATCTCTCACTTTCCTTCCACTCTTACAATCTATTGAAGAATTCCTCACAATGAACACACTCTAGAAAACCTAATTTCACTAACTACTACAATACTCCTACTAATTCTCTCTCTGTTTTCTGATTTTTGGCCAAAATGTTCTTTTAAAGTTGTGGATGAGTTTCCCCATGAGTTGCCTAAGCATCCATTGGAAATTTGTCCTTATCCAATGCCTTGTTGGACTCAACCGCCGAGCTCGCCGTCGGCGGCCTCGAGGGTGCCGGCCGTCGGCGGATATTCATAATGAATTAATTCTGGAGTCTCGAGAAAATCTCGTCGTTGGTGGGATCGATGGCGCTGTCGGCGCCCTAGTTCAATTCTGCACACTTTGGTTCGTTTCGCTCCAAATTCGCTTCTTTTTGCAGTTTTTTTGCTCCAATGACCCTAATTCATCATTCCTGCGATAAAACATCAAAAATACATTTCTTTAAAGTGCAATATCATCAAAATTTCTTTAAAGTGCAAAAGGACTAACTGTGAATTTTTCTCCTTCATGTTGTCAGGTACAAGATCCACAAACGGGACAGATTCATCCTCTGGTCAGCAGGGTTGGTCGATTATTTGAGCTTGTCTCTCTGCATCTTCCCCAAAAATAGTATAAAATAGGCATAAAAATCTCAACATTTCACTGTTAATTTTTTAAGGAGCCATTTTTTTTAACAATTTTGAAACATTGATTTATATTGTACAATTGGGAAAGAATTTTTCTATACGATGCCTCCTAATGAAAATTCTCTTTTATATGTTGGAAGGCACCAAGATTTTGGATTTCAATTACAATTTAACCTCAACCCAAGTAAATATATATATATATAATATATATATATATATATATATTCTAATTCAACTTTATAAAGGCCTGGTCGACGTCAAGTTGATCGATGTCAAGTTGAAAGCAGTCAATGGCTTAGACTTGGAAATGCTATTAGTTAATTAAATGAGGTGATAACACATTGCTTAAGCAATTTCGATTTTTTTTGTAAAATCAAGTAATCAGATATATGTATTTTAAATTGTAACATTATACATTTAATAGAAAACAAATGTTAAATATATACTTAGATGCTCATATGCTTTTCTTTAACTTTATTTTTGCATTACATGTTCTTTAATATTATTAAATTTATTTTCTAGTTTTATTTAAATTTACATAATACTTAACTAATTCCCTTCAATTACTTATGAAGGACAATTATGACTGATAATTAAATCTCATTGAACTATTAAGGATGGAACCATTAACTGATTCAAATGAAATCAACTTTGCTTCAATTTGAAAATATACCTTGGATGCAAGTCGAAGATAATTTAATGTAATCTTTTGCATTTTCATATTCAAGTATGTATGTATGTATGTATGTTTGTATATTGTTGTGTGCCAGAAGATTCGTGGTAATATAGTGATTATTTAACGTTTTAGCATTGTAAGAAGATCCAACACACACAAATAATAAAAATATTGCAAAAGAAGACAATGGTTTTTTATGTGGAAAAACCATGAAAAGAAAAAATCACAGAGTCTAGTCCAGTGAAAGTAATTCATAATATAATTATGAGTATAAATGTCTAATCTTCTCTTGAGTTAAAGAAAATAAAATTACAATATTGATAATCATATATGTATAATAGTCATCCATCTATAATACCCGCAATTGGGCTACACAAACGAGATTTTGGCAATAATAGTGATAGTGTGCTTCAAAGGTCATAATTAAGTGCTACAAAGATAGTATTTTGTCATAAAGACTGTAGTTGAAGGCTGCAATAGTATTAGTTGGTCATAGAGAACTAGTTGGAAGCCATAATAGCAATTTGTCTCCTAGGCTATGATTGGTGGTTTTTGTATCATCAATGGGTCAAAGAGACTATAGTTGGAACTATATTAGCACTTAGTTTCATAGGTCATAATTAATAACACCAATCATAGTTGGTAGCCGCGGTAGCAGTTAGCCATATAGGTCATAGTTGAAAGCGCAGTAGCAGCTATAGTTGGTCACGTAGATCGAGGTTGGTAGTTGTAGTAGCAGTTAAACACATATGATATAATTAGAAGATACGGTAACAGTTAGCTATATGGGTTGTAGTTGGTCACATATGTCGTGAATGATAATTTTAGTTTTTTGGCGCATAGACGCCACCCTAAGTGGCGCATATGTGTCAAGAGCGGCGTGCAGTTCAGCAATAGGATATGCATTTGTGCCCCCCATTGATGTTGTTTGTAATCCCTTGGGAAAATAAGGCGGTGCTTTGATTCAACAGTTCATGATCTTAACTTTTGGCTCTTTAGCAAACTCCACTCCCTACCTGGGAGGAATACTGTTGTTCATTGTTCTTGCATGGTTGGGGGCGGCAAAGTCTCTGGATTCACAGTTCTCTCCATTAGCCAAGCAAGAGCTGGAGAAAGAGAGGGTGAAGGGAAAGAGCAGGGAACCTGTGATTGATGTTTCTGCAAAAGAAGCTAAAAGCCTGGTGGAGAAGGAAGATAATGGCTCTCTTCCTGAACCTGAATCATCAGCAAATGGTTCAGCTCTGCAACAGAAAATAGCTTCAAAGCCTGGATGATTCTAATTGGTGTGCAAACATATGAATAAAATTAGTAATTTTAAAAATGTATTTATATAGTGTTTGATCATCCTTAAAATTTTCACATATTCAATTAATAAATAAATTCTCATAGAAATGGATGAAATTTGATTTTTATACCAATATTATATTGTTCATCATAATTAATAATATTTATTTTAAAATTAATATTGAAAGATAGATATGAAAACAAAAACTCGGTCACCTCATCTGAGACGTGAAGTCATTAGTCATTAGTCATTTGCACTAAATGTTTGGTTGATTGAGGAGTCGTCGCATATCTTTCTTAGTCAATGTAAATAATAGAAATACATTAATTTAAGACCACCCAAACTTTGAAAGCACCTCTAAAGACCTGTAAAGTCCAAATATTCATCATTCAGTCATCGATAAATTATTCTAAAATATATGCACTAACACCCTTCAAATGGACCAAATTTTGCAATTCCATTATACTGGTGCTCTAAGAAATGTGCACATTGTTTGAGAATGTTGTACGGATTGGCCTAAAATAAATCGAATTACCCTCATGTGCTCTGGCCAATATGCTAAATGATCAAATCACTTAAACAGAGAATGATGCCGAGTTAAAATTAAAAAATAATAATAATAATAAAATATATATGATTAAGTACTTGGAAATTAAAATTAAGATGATATGAATTTGTTTTTCAATAAATGATAATTTGATTAAGTATTTAGAAATTGAAGAAATTTGATTATTGTATAAATTTTATATTTTTAAATTTAATTAATAAAATTAATATGGAATGATAGAAATAAAAAACAAACAAAAAAGGAGGATAATCATTTTTATTCATAAAATATGATAAAAGTAGAGGTAGATCACCCATCTTTTCATTCAGATTAGGACCAGAAAGAAACTTCAACATATTGTGATTCCACAAATGTATTAATTATGTGATTGAGAGTGTTTCACAAACACATCCAGTGATTCCACAAATGCATTAATTATGAAGTTGATAGGAATTCCACTAGCTTTATAATTAACAGTGTTTCAAGTACTATGTATGCAATTATCCATTTCTTTTTATAAATTCAAGAAGGCAGAGGTGATGAAGTAGCTATCTTTCTCTTGTTAGATCCTTAGTTTCCTAGCATATATCACTGCTATTAAATGGTGAGAATTATTAGTGTCAGCAGACTCTTAATTATCCTCTTGTCTATCCGTTTATCTTCCAAACAATTGTTAGCAGTTGGAAGAAATAATACAGACTATGAATCACTCATTGCAGTCAAGAATCAATTTCTAAAGCAAAGCAATGCGAATTCTTCTACCATTTTCGCGAGCTCATGGAATGCCACCAACCACTTTTGCTCATGGGAAGGGGTCACTTGTGGCTTCAAGCACTGCGACAGAGTCACAGCCTTGAATCTCCATTCTGTCGGGTTGTCCGGTCCTCTTCCTCCTTCCATATTCAATCTCACCTTCCTGAGAAGGCTTGATCTCAGCCTCAACGAGCTCTATGGTGAGATCCCTCAAATTTTGGCTTGCTTACCACGACTACAACATCTTAACTTGAGCTTTAACTCATTTGATGGAGACATTCATGCTATTCTGGTGTTGAACGATAGCTCTGTTCTTCAAGTTCTAGACCTTGCCAAAAACCATATGATCACAGGAAAGATACCAATTTTTATCAACTCCATGTCCCCGCTCAAATTCCTCCGTTTCGATCAAAACAACATCATTGGCACCATCCCTCCTTCACTTACCAATCTATCCTTCTTGCAAAGTTTTTATGCATTATCTAATAATCTAGAGGGAGTCATCCCACCAGAGATTGGTGTTCTTCATAAGTTAAAAGACTTTAATGTGGCTGATAATAAACTTTCAGGTAAGATTCCTTCTTCATTCTATAATCTATCATCATTGCGTAGAGTTTCGGTGACAACTAATCACTTCTCTGGTTACATTTCTTCTAATATTGCCCAAGCTTTTCCAAACCTTGTAATATTTTATTTTGCCGAAAATAATTTCATTGGTTCACTTGATCAAGCTCTTCAAAATGTGACCAGCTTAGTCATTTTCGACATTAGCATAAATAATTTCACAGGAGTGGTGCCACCAGACTTTGGAAAAATGTATAATCTTAGACTTCTCAATATGGAATCTAACCAATTTGAAGCGAATGATGCAAAAGACTGGAAATTTCTTGATTCATTAACTAATTGCACAAGCTTACAAATTTTAGGCCTTTATGGTAATAACTTTCATGGAATACTTCCAAAATCAATTGGGAACCTCTCCATTGAGCTTCAAAAAATATCATTAGGATATAATCACATTTTAGGAAGAATCCCTTTTGAACTTGATCGGTACAACAATCTAATTGGTTTAGGGATGGAGGAAAATCATTTGGAAGGTTCTATACCCAAGACCATTGGAATGCTTGGAAGGCTACAAATTTTATCTTTGACTGGGAATGATCTTACGGGATTTATTCCTTACTCCCTAGAAAATCTCACAAGTCTTAGTGAGTTATATTTAGGATATAATCAATTAACAGGCCATATACCTTTAAGCCTAAAAAACCTCCAACATCTTTCTTATTTGGATCTCAGTCATAATAATCTAACAGGCTGGATTCCAAAAGAAATTTTTTTCATTCCTTCCTTTTCAAATTCTTTGTATTTGTCTTATAACTCTTTCACTGGGTCTCTACCATTAGAAGTTGGCCGTCTGACAAATCTCTACTACCTTGATGTTTCTAATAATAATTTGGAGGGAAAAATTCCAAAAGCAATTGGAAGTTGTCAATCATTACTTGGATTAGAAATGAAATACAACTTCTTCCAAGGCCCCATCCCTATTTCTCTAAGCAACTTGAAGAGTCTTGAAAAATTAGACATTTCACATAATAATTTATCTGGTGTTATTCCTCAATTTCTACAAAAACTTGTCTTTCTTAAGAAGTTGAATCTATCATTTAATAATCTTGAAGGTGAGGTGCCATATGATGGTGTCTTTGCAAATTCCTCAGAAATATGTCTCGTTGGAAATGAAAAACTATGCGGAGGGATTGTAACACTTCATTTGCCAAATTGTGTTGCCAAATCATCGTCAACAAAACTTCATCATTTAATCAAAATTTTATCCCCTATCAAAATTTTATCCCCTATTCTTA